ATATCCACCCCGCCCCATATCCGCATATATATATATATGCTTGAACTTTATTTTACAATTATGTATTAAATTTTTGTATTATTATATTACTCATGTAAAGTTATATAAGATTAATATAAAAATATATTTAATAATAAAGTAAACCAAAAAATTTATTTTAGTTTAAATTTTTAATAGAAAAATTTATTTACTATTTTATATCATTTAATTAGGTTAATACAATTTAATTATTATATAGTTAATATGAGATTGACTTTTTTTTAAAATATTATTTATATATGACACATAAAATATTTTTCACATAAATATTTTTGTTAATAAAATCATATTGATGTTTAAATCATAAATATATTGTAAATATTTTATAAATTTTACAATCACTTACTATTATCGTAAATTTATTATTTATTAATAATATTTAAATTTTATTTTTTATATTTTAATTTAAAATAATATTTTTCTATGCAACATATGTATTACAAGCACAACTATAATCTATTGAATCTAAATAATATTATTCTTACTATTTATTCACGTTCAAAATTTTTTTTGAAAAGATATAAATATAAAAAATTATTGTTAATTTTTATTTATTAATTTTTTCAGATAAAAAAATATAATTTTTTTAATATACACATATATTTCTTTATTATAAAATTTTATTGTGACTATTTATCTTTTATTCAAATTTTTTATTTTAAAATTTATATACATTATAAATATTCAATTCATTAAAATAATTTTTTAAAAATTTATATTTTTGATAAAATACTTTCGTATAGTATATGAGTTAAAAATACTAAGATTAATATATATATATATATATGTATATATATATATATTATGTTATTTTAATTAAATCTATTATTTTTCTTACAATTTCAAATTCAAAAGTTAAAAAAAATATTTTATGTATCCACTTTCTGTTGTTAGTATTGAACTTTTCTACTCTAACTCTATTCTTATTCTCAATGTCTGTCTCATTAAAACCTAACAACTATGAAACGTTATTCATTAGTTTTTAATGTCGTCACAAGATGTCACCAAGTGATCCCACACGAAGGGACAACTATTGTACAGATCTATTTCGTTATTGCTCTTACATTGTCAATCGATTAAATCTCACACAAGATAGGGTTATAACTGACAAATAACTTGTGTGTTTAGTTTCGCTTATTGTTTCTAAAAATTTTAGTTTAGAAAATTATTATACTAAGATATATTTAGCATTTACGATCTTTGAATATTTATTTTTTATCTATGTTTGTACTTTGTTCGGCAACTACATATTGAATTTTTGTATTATTATGCTACTAATGTGAAGTTATATAAACATATTTTTCTTTATAAATAATTTTTTCGTAAACAAGCGCAGGTAATGGGTACAATATGGAGTATGCGGGTACCCAGAGGATACGGGTACGAAGATTAATGTTCATACCCACGCGGGTATGGGGCTGGGTACAGGTATTTTTTTAAAACACAGGTATAGAGATGCGTACTATAGTATCCTACCCATACCCTACCCATTGTCATCCCTAGTACATAGTAATAAATATAATATTACATATTCAACGGTTAAATTGATTAATTTTATATTTAATAAAATTTTATTAAATAGTCTAAGTGTTTAAATTTGACATTTATTATTAATGATTCTATAAAATAATTTTTATTAAGAAAATATTATTAAATTTAGTGCACTGTTAACATTAAATGTTACAAATTTTATTAAAAAATATTATTTTTAAATTTTTTGACATGTGTTCTTAAAATACACATAAAAAAATTGATAGGCTAAAATAAAATAAAATTTGTATTGGAAAAAATATAAAATAATCTCCCCTGAAATCATTTGATAACTAATACGAGAAATTAAAAAAAATGAAAAATAAAGAGACTTTCCTCTAAACTGCTTTATTAAAATATTATTTTTAAGAAAATAAATTATGTTTGTTACTTGATCATATGATGTTATAACTACCAGTGTTTGAGATTTGATTTGATTTAATTTTTATTTAATAAATTATTAAAATTAAATATACAAATAATATGTGTGATTCGATTTAAATATAATATAAAATTGAACTAAATTGAGTTAATACTTTGTAGGTGGATTAAAAGTAATTAATTTAATTATTTATTTAAATTCAAAAACTTTAAAATTAAAGTGAAGTTAAAAATAAAAATAAAGAAAAAAGTTTTAATTAGAATGATGAAATCATAAGAATAGTATATTATATATTTATCTATTTTTATGATAAGATTAAAAAACAATTTTTATATCAAATAATTTAGTTCAATTTTAAGAATAAGAAAAAATGAATAATCATAATATAAAAGATAATTTTTTCAACTTTTGATTTAATTTATTTTTATTTAATTAATTTTTAATCGACTTAATGGTTTAAAAATAGTTTAATTCAATTTTAAATAACTCTAAATATTATACTAAAAAAATATTTTTTATATTAAGTGTTATTACGTGCCAGTTAATATGCTTTCAACTCCAATGAAATACATTTTGTGCGAAAAATAATGTGGTCTAAATTAAAAAATTAAGTAGTTTATGTTATTTTAAAATTTTTAAATAAATGGTAGTTATACTTTGAAATATGAAAGTAAAATAATAAAATATTTTATAAACTAAAAATATAATTTAATTTTAATTTATAAAATGAATTTTTTTCTATATTTATACTTTTTAAAATAAAAAAATCTAATTCTACTAATCGAAGTTGATTCAAATGGTAAACATTTTTATCCAATTATTCGACTTGAATCAAATTCAGATTAAACCGAAAAAAATTTTAATTCTTTTAACTATAAATAGGATTAAATAAACTCCTTTTTGCTTTTTAATCATTAAAAATTTCTCAAACTTCAAATGAAATATTATTTTCATTTTTCCTGTTTTCATTTTAATGAAAATATACAAATTAAAAAATAAAATAATATTTTTATTTAAAAAATTATTTTAATCATCTTAACATGACTTTTCTTTCTTGTTTATTTTAAGTGTGTAAAGCATTTTAAAACTAAATATAGATAAGAGTAAAACAAAAGAATATAATAATTAATGCCAATTTAAACTTTGAAAAATATATAAATAGAAATAAATTATGCTTTTAAAATAATAAATTAAAAAGAATAAAAGTAGTCATTAACAAAATAGTGAAAAGAGAAAATAAGAGTAGGTTTGATATTTTTAAAATAATTTTTATAAAAATAAAATATAATACAAATTTATATTATATTTTATTTTTAAAATAAGATTATTTTTAAAACAAAAATTAAATATGCTCTATTTTTTTAAAAAAAATTAAAATCTCAGGATAAGAAGTGGTCCTGGTGAGTTTGACAGGGATGGAAAAGGTATAGTTCCAAATCCAATCGAAGGCTGAACTAATCATTTGCTGTTTATTTCACGTCACCCATGTAATATACAACATAATTCCCACACGTGTCCCAACTGTATTTTTCTTGTATTTTCTTTTCTATTTAATAAAATACAACAAAAATTCATTCTAATAAATAAATTTTGAGTAAATGAAACAACGGAAGTTTATTATCATACAAAGTATGAACTAGCAAGATCTTATTCAAATTGCCAAAATTCCTCAAAATCCTTATTAACTTTTTTTTCTCCATTTCTTTTTAGAATATTTTAAATATAAAACCTTTTAAAAAGTTTTATAAAATTTTATTATTTTTTTATATCTATCTCTCTTAAATATTAAAACCACCTAACTTTTCAAGAATTAATATAATAATAGAATTTAACTTTAAATAAGAATAAACTTAAATGTTATAATTATTTTTTAAAACCCAATACAATAGTTAATTTTAACAATATTTTAATAGAACATGAGGGGGAGTGTTTATCAAACATAATTTCAAGGAATGGTCATATAGAGAAAAAGATAGTGTTGAACAAGAAGACGAACCATCTCTTTCTAGCCACAAAATTGAGGATAACTTAAATTAAGAAAAAATGAATCAATTTTTAAGATTAGAAAGCCCTTTAGAACACATGCAGTGTAGAGATTGCAAAGCTTTATAAGATGCAGTAAGTTACTTGTGCTAGTTGACAAAGCTATGCAACACTGCCAGCTACTATGGGCAAGGAAATGAAGGGCTCTCCCATACTGTGCCAGTGACCAAACCTTCATGCTCTGCCAACAAGTGCCGTTTTGTAAGCTGCGCCATATAGTTGGCCATGACACATTAATAGACATCCAAGCCATATATGGTCCCAATTCTTGCATCTCACCCTTTCTACAATGCTTAAATTAGGATCTCATTTTTTGTTCTCTTTTTTCTTTTGTTCCCTGAAACCAACCCCACTATGGTTAAAATTCCTATTTACCGTGGTCCTCTATGATCTATCATCAATATAACAAAACTGAGGTTGTAGTTTTTTAAAAAATGGATAATTTTAAAAAGTTAAATTTTATCACCTAGCAAAATTATAGGGTGCTGCCCTTTGTGTCAAGTTATATATGTTGTCATGATTAGCAAGTTACATTGCATAGTTGTGGTCCAGTGGCACCTCCCTCAGCTTCTTTCCCTCGTGAAATATTATAATGATATTTGCTATTGAGTACATAATGATTAATTAGTGAGAGATATTTAATAACACACCACTTGTGTGACCAGTGAGAGAAGGAAACAAGAGATAGATGGGTGGTCAGGTTTTATGGTAGGTGACTAAACAACCACCTTCAGCTCACATGCCTTCTTTATGTGTATTTTAAAAACCTTTACCTTTTTATCTCCTCATGTCATGTGTTATGACGTCCAGTACCTATCCCAATTTTTCAACACCACATTCATTTCTCTTTGGTGCAAAGAAAAGATAATTACCCACCCAAAATGTCACTTTTGGAATTTCACACCACAATTATATTCTCATATTTTTCTAGAGGAAAATGCGTGAGTGAAAACAAAACAACTGCTAAAAATCTGTTACAAAATCATGAGCTTAAATTTTGCAGCATAAGAACTTATTCTTTGAAGTATGAACAAAGTAACCAACAAATATCACCCCAAAAGGAAAAAGAAAATTAGAAACCAAACCAAAAAGGAAGAGAAACAGATCAAAAGTTTCTTACGAACTACTTGAAGAATAACAGAAATAGCTCAAAGAAGACATGAATTTTGTAAAGAATTAATGAAATAAATGCATAAGCGTTTCTATACAGTTTGAAATCTTCACTCTGAAGTTGAAATGAACCTCTGCTGGAATGAACTAAGAGGTTTAGTTTAGTTAGACATGAGGCCCACCAGTGCCTCCTGCTTGTTGTTCCCTCCTACTACCCACCAAGTTCTGTAAGGCTCAGCATGGTTATGGCTATTGCTGTCTTCCTCTGTAGAAGCAGGAAGATTAAGATCAAAAAAGTCCCTAATTTCTGGGGTTGCTTCCTCAAGTACAATTGTTTGACTTTGACAGTTTCTAGTACTCTCAGACCCACCAGCCAAATGAGATCTCTTGTGGCCACCCAAGGCTTGGCCAGATGGAAAAACTTTGAGGCAAATTGGACACTCATGCCCTTTGCTCTTCTTGGACCCTCTCACTGTGTCTTCCTCATTGTCAAAACCAATAGTAGTAACCATTTCATGTTCTTCCACATTTTCATTGTTGTCAATAGTATTATTGTTCTTCATGAGCTTACTTTCTGTTGTTGGGTCAGGGGAGAGGTCTGCTTCCAATTCAGTGCTGTTTTCACTGCTCGCATTTTTTGAAGCAAAGCAACCTTTGATCTTCTTATGACTAGCTCTGTGACCTCCAAGTGCTTGGTATGATTGAAAGATTTTGTTGCAAGTAGTACATTCAAACTTGCCTCTCTTGTGGGAGCTCTTGCTAAATTCAGCTTCTGAAGTCTTGTTTGCCCAACTCTTCAAAGAACTTGACTTCATCTCAGAATCCAAAAGCTTTGCCTTGATTGAAGTGTATTTACTATTACTGAATTCTGTTCCATTGTCCTCAAATTCAAACTGAGAATCAAGCTCAAGCTCAGGCTTCTTATCCTTCCCATTCCTGATGAACTCATTTCCAATATCCTTGGTCTTGTTGACCCCAAATCCATTTTCAGGACACTCAGTAGCCAAAAGCTCTGAACTCTTTTTACCTTTGGAGTTGAGATTTGAAGCAGCAGAATTGCCAAACTCCCACTTCATGTCCCTTGGCTTGGTCACTTTTTTAGCCATCTCAGAACCACTGGAGATAACCCTCTTGCCCTCAACCTTTGGAACCAAAGATGGACCTTCCAATTCAAAGTGCATTGAGTTATTGCCAGAGGACTCGGCAACAGAATTCAAACCACACCAAGGACTCAAATCCCTGCTAAGCATCATCAAGCTCATAGCAACTTCTTCCTGCTCCTGCTCAGCCTCAGAAACAAAAGAAATAGAAGAGGTTGATGGGTCCATGTACCTTGTTCTTCTTCTCTTGGATCTTCTCCTTCGATTTGGAGCACTGGCTTCATTTTCAGATTGGCTTTCCAATTCCAACACCATCTTGTGACTACCATTGTTGTTATTATTAGTCCACGAATCTTGATCATCCAAAAAGGTGTTATTTTGGGTCACTCTTTCCCTATCGGAGTGGCACTTCATGTGACCAAACAGAGCTTTCCAAGAGTGAAATCCTTTGCCACACTCTTTGCAAAACTTGTCCAACACCGCAGTGTCTTCACTTGAATCCGTGAACCTCCAAGTCTTCTTGGGGTTCTCTCTCAGACCATACCCTCCATTGTTAACTCCTGCTTCACAAGTGTCTCCACCATTGCTGTTGAAAGATGAAAGCTTCCTTATTGTTGGTGCTGAAACCTTCTCTTCATTCTCAGTTGAAGCATTGGTGACATGTGACCTCATGTGGCCTCCCAAGGATCTTCCACAAGGGAAGCTCTTGCTGCAGAACTTGCACACGTGCTTCACTTCTTGGTCTTCTTCCATTGGATTGATCATTCAAGAAAGCAACACGGATCAGAAAACAAAGCGAAACACCACAGTGAGTCAGAGACACCAACAATATCCAAGAATGCTGAATTCTTTGATTGATCTCATCAACGCTCCACCTCAAGCGCCGAAGAGAGAAACAGAAGAGGATCGCAAGGGAAAACTGGCACGACCCAGATCAGAAAATGAAGAGAAGAAGAAGAGGAAGCCCATGTCTGGATTCACAATCACAAAAAAATTCCAAGGTGAGTGCAAGATCTAAGACAGAAAAAGAGGAAAAGAAAAAGGGGAAGCGAAGAGAACGTGTAGTAGTAAAAAGGTATATAGTATAGTAGTAGTAGCTCTCTTGCCCTTAGTTGAATTTTGAAGAAAAAATCAAAGTTGAAGAGGTGGAGAGGAGTTGTGTGAGTTATACCTTTGTTGCTAATGATAGCTATGATGGATGAGGAAGGGAAGGGAGAAAAGAACAAATAAGAGTGAGTGAGTGAGTGAGCGTTTGTTTCTCCAATTCTCTCTCTCTCTCTCTCTCTTAAGCTTGACTGTATTAGGAGGAGAAATCCATGCATGGAAGCAAAGATTAAAATAATAACAACACAAAAAAGAAATAAAAGAGTGGTAAAGAGAGAGGGACAGCACGTGTACTCTCAACTGAGGATCCTACGCCACCCATTAATCCAACGGTCTCAGATATGTCCACGTCAGCATCATGTTGCTGATCATGAACCTCCAAAAACTACCTGCATCCCCACTATTCCTTCCTTTGTCTTGCTATTAAGGAAATGCCCCAATGCTATAGAACACTTCAAGTGAAAGCTTCCACCCTCGCCGTTATTCTTCTCCACTTTCTATTACTCATGTTTTTTTATTTGTCGGATATAAAACACATTCTTATTGTGGGTCCCCTCCACCTAGTCCCATTTCCTTCATAATTTCCATTCAAATATTATTTTCATTTTTTCAAATTTAATGTATTTCAAATTTTTTAATTGTTTTTGAGTTCATTCAATTTATGTAAGTTCAAATACAAATTATATTTATTAAATATTATTATCATTATGTTCTAATAACTTTTTTCTGATGTATTTTTCTTATTATTAATCAGATGTAATATATGTAAAATTATGGTATAATGAACTCACGTAAAATTTGGAGTGAATCCAATCAAAGTGTGGCAATGGCAAGCCACTGCTTTCTTGATTCTGCAGAGCGATTTAGTGAGAACAATTTGGTAAAGTAAAAGTCCTAAACATTTGAATTGGTGAGTCATTATCAAGTGGGGTTGTTTGGAAGCTTTATTTAAGTTAATATTCTTAAAGATGGGTTGGTCCTTGGGCATGGATATGAGGTCCATTTCTTGCTGTTGCACCTATAGGTTATGGCTGAACTGAGCCATACCACCAAAACATAGGGCAGGCACAAGCTGAGCCTGAGCTGAGGCGAAACAAATGCAATGCAACCAAAAAAAGGGACATTTATTTGCGACCAAGAGTGTTGTGTTGTGACTCTCTTTTATCTCTATTGTTTTTAATACCCTTCTGGAATTGTCTATGTAAAATATTGTAAATGCCCCCAAGCAAGGGTTGGAATTATACAGCTATATTCTCCAAAAATGGACATTGGAATTTGGGTGCAAATAAGAATGTGGAGAGTTTTTCCATTACATGAGTGTTGCCTTCTTGTGGGGACACCCACTTGAGATCCCTTTTGCTTGCCCTTAATTCTCCAAATCCAATTGAAGCTGTCATAGCCAGCTTTAACCTTTTTAACTGCTCGCAAACAATGTTGCTGCTGCCTTACTCTTTCTCTTCTAATGACATGTAAGAGATTGTTTTTAGAGGGAATTTTAACCATAAAATATTTATTTTAATTATTTAGATTTTACATATTTTATATAATTTAATAAATATGTATACCATTCTAAGGGTTTTTAAAAAAAATAAATTTGATCTTCTATTAAAATATCTAATGCATTATAAAAATAATATTAAGTTAAGAATATTTTAAAATAATGGAAATGAAATAATGTTTATTTGTTAAAATTTCAATCATTATATTAATTTTGAAGATTTGATGATAGGGGAAATCAAATAATGATATGAACTAAAATAAAAATTTAACATCATTATTTGGATATATAAACTAAGCTTCATTTCATTATTTAAGAAATCATAATAATAATAACAATAAAACATTTAATTACATACTATATCTCTCCAATTAGGTGAAACAAGAATAAAATGATAGATTAAATTTAAAATATTATTAAATTTTATTTTAAATTATTCAAACAATAATAATCACTATTCAAGTTAATTTTAATAATTTTAGAAAGTTTTCTTAAACTTATGCAAGACACTTTGCTCTCTTAAATTTTTAAGAACTTTTCATTCTTTATTTTTATATAATAATTAATATGTAGTAAAATATAACAAATAAATTTTAAATATTTGCTAACTGAAAAAATGTTAAGTTAGCATTTTTTAAAAATTAAATAAAAATATAATTTTTTTTATTAAATGAAGTCACCTAATATAAACTTAAGAATTTTTATAATAAAGTGAAATTATTTAAAATATGTATTAAAATGAATTTAAGATTGTTAATATATGTATTAAACTTAGATATTTACACCAACTTTATAATCTTTTATAAAATATAAAATTGACATATATAAATAGTTGAATCATTTTATATTATTTTTTATTATATATATTAAGTTTTATATAATTTCAATATTTATATGTATATTTTTTTTATATTTTAAAAATATATTATTCATTAAAATAATTTAATGCAATAAAATATTTATTAATTTATTTATATATAAAATTTTATGAAGTTAATTTATTTAATAATAACTTTTAAACCAATAAACAGATTAATTAATTTCATATTTTATAAAAAAAAATTATAGGAAGTGTAAGTGTTCACATTTGACTCTAATACCAATAAATTTTAATGTTAAATATGCTCTAAATTAAAAAATAATAATATATATATATATATATATATATATATGAAATTCGTTGAAAACATGTACTAAATTTGCACACTTACATTGTTTAATAATTTTTTATTAAAAACAAATTAATTACTTGCTTAAATAATTTTCTATTATTTTTATAATCATATATATTAAATTTTATATTATTTAAATATTTGTAAGCATGTTATTAAAATTTTGATATTTATTTAAGAATAAAATAATGCTAAAAAATACCTATTCATTTTACTTTTATATAAAATTTTATAATATTAATCTATTGTATAAAAATATTGAAGTCAACAGTTAGATTAATTAACTTTACACTTTATAAAAAATTATTAAATGATATTAGTACATAAAATATTATATATATATATATATATATATATATAATGTGCTATTTTTAATTACATGAGCTAATAAAAAAATATATACTAAAATAAAGGAAAAAATATGATTAATTAATAATTTTGAGTTGAGCTTAATAAAAATATAAATGTATAATAATATTTTATAATTTATTTATTTATTAATTATTACATTTAGTCTTAAAATTTATATTAACATGTTCTTAATCAATATAAATTAATTAAACTTCATATTAATTAGTATTTTTGTGATATTGATTTAAGAATTCTTAGTCAAATATTTTATTAAAAATTATATTATACTACACTTAAATTATAAAAAATTGTGTGTATATTATTTTTTGAAAATATTTACTTTTAATTCTTTAATCGATTCCTTAAGATATTGGGTTAAATTTTTTATTAATTAATTTAAAAAATATTAATCTAAATATTTAAAATAAAATTTAACTATCTAAAAATTAATTTTTATTTTATTTTTATAATTTTAATATAATAAATATTTTATAATAAAATTATTATTTTTAATTAAACTCTGTTAGGAAAGCTCTAAAAGTATCTTCTTAGGTTAGCATCACCGATCCCATGATACTGCAGATTGGGCAGCAAGTACATGTTGTCGAGCCTTGTGGTTGGTGAATGCGTTGTTACTTTACGACAATGATGCCATTGGGTGTTCAAAAGTTGATGCTCCGTTTAGTAACTACAATGTCGTCACGGATCAGCATCGGAGGCCATGGGTGCCCGGCAATTTTTTACGAGTAGAGCTAGAAAGAATTTTTAAAAAATATATTAATTAAAAATTTGATCTAGTTTTTTTTTTTTTTTTGTATATATACAATTGTGGAATAAGATAAAATTAGCTTAAAGTAATAAAATAAAAAATTAAATTGTGATAGTTTTTTGAAAAAAATTGTTAAAATATATGTATATATATGAGACATTTTAAGTGAGAAGAGTTCTGTATTATGAGATGTAAGAAACATTAATAATGAACATTGAATTAAATAATTAGAAAGAGAAAGAAAAAAGTGGTCATTATTAATATTTTTCACTTTTCATAATAACAAACTCCTCTTACTTGAAATGTCATATATATATATATATATATATATATATATAGTGTAAGTTTAAAAATTCTTACACTCAATTTAAATTTTTTATTTAATTTATTTTTAATAAGTTATAATTTATTACTTTACTAATCATTGATATAAATTAAATGTAAGAATTTTTAAACTTACACTTAATTAAGATGAGTAATTTTTAAAAAGTCTTAATTAAGAATATTTTTCATGTATTTTATATATTATTATTTAATCTAATTTACATTCAAATAGTAAAAATTAGATTATGACTTATATTAGATGAGATTTTTTATTATATAAACTTAATAATTGCATAAAAATATTTTTAAATTAATCTCAGTTCACAATGACTGTTTATTATCAAAGGTTTTTGTTCGGTGGACAAATGTACCAATTGAAAAGTAATAAATGGTTCTTAAATTAAGTTTCCAAGTTATCGTTCTACAAGAATTATCTTTCAATTACTATGAGTTTTTTCTTGTTGAGTTGTTTGAGCGCAAGGAATGTATAATTATGACGTTTCAAATTTTCAAAACAGAATTACACACACACCTTAAACAGAATTATATAGAGGAAACCTAGAGTATGTGGGTTCCTTATTCATTCATCTATGTTTGTTTACCAATTAACCCTAGATCTGATTCCATGCAATCACCAATCATTCCTAATGTTGTTACTAACACCCAATGGTCATGCAAGATATTAACTAATGAAAGTATGAAGTGCCTATAAACTTGTTAATTAATCCATCTAATCTTTACTCTCGTTTGTCCTACAGATCTGTTAGTTAATCAGGTGCGATCACTTAAGATGTAATTAACTAGGGTTATGTTACGAGTGGTCAATTCACAACACATAATCAGCATAGTGGAGCAATACTAATCACAATGGAAATCAAATCTGAATTTAATTATCAAACACTCATAGAGTCACGAACAAGGTTTCTCATAACCCTAGCTAAGGGTTTAATTACGAATGCTTAAAAGAAGAATTCGTGCATTCATAATTAAAGCCATTAATACAATAACTAAGAAAGATGGAAAGAAACTAGAAGAATGGTCCCGTTCTCCAAGTCCGGTCGCTTAAAGATCTAACTCCCTCTAGGATGTA